CCCCAAAACCCCAAAACCCCAAAACCCCAAAACCCCAAATAATGAGGAATAATCTTAAAATACTAACATAAAATTAACATATAAAATGGCAGACAAGGGCGCAATACCTCTTACTAACTCCAGTTGGGCTCAGAAGAACTGAAGCCATATTTTCCAGAAGTACATCAAAGATAAGAAGACAGACAAGTTTAATCCTAATTCAGAAATAGATGCCATCTTTAACGACATCAGCATTCAATTTGACCTTGACGAGTATGAGAACCTATTAAAGACAGCAAAGAAGGCTTCGTCTTCTAACAAGACCCTCTCCAAGGCTGAATTTGAGAAGCTCCTCGTCAAGTGGATCATGATGTTTAAGAGCCAAGTTGTATCAGATCTACTAGCTGACTCAATTGAAACTGTACAGTTAAAATTAGGTACTAACAAAAACGAAATCAAAGCCACCATCAAGGACTTTAACAAAGGTGCATCTGAAGAGATCAGCATAGCTGATCTCCCGAGATTCATACCAGAGTTAATGTCAACAATTGGAGTTCGGATTGTTAGCCTCTCAGCTAAGCAACCTACCTCAGATTCCTGCATCTGAACAGATGCAGATGAGAAAGTCTTTTATAACGAGTTAAAGAACCTAGCTAGTATTATAAACCTAAAATCGATAACTTTCAAAACATTGGACGATCTTCTGCTATCTTACTTCAACGGGCCTGATCCAAAATACGCCTTTGTTAAAGTGAGTACATATAATGATGACTCAGGCCTTGACCCATTCCAGGATCTAGGTGAAGAGAATCCATTTGCTAAAAATAAGAAGAAAAACGACACTGCCGATGATAAAAATATAAAAGAAACAGAGGAAGATATCAAAAAGGCTCAATCACAGAAGGACTCCAAGAAGGTTGAACTTTTAACCAAGATCAAGCAATACTACAAAATGAAGAAGGCTATGACAGCTGAAAAGGAAAGGGACAGAATGGACCTCATGATAGATGGCGCCAAGAAAGAGATAGCTAAGCTTGACGGAAAGAAGAACGAGCCTAAAACAATCTCAAATAAAACTGACCTCAAGAAAATAGATCGCCATAAGACAGATAATACAGCTCTTAAGCCTCCAATTGGCATGAATAGTGGATTCATACAAACTCCTCAGAAAAGTCCCAAAATTAAGAATGATTATGATGAAGCTCTGATCGGAGGCGAACACTTGATGTTTGAAAAGCCCAAACAGGATGGGTATAATGATTCAGATATGAATTATCAAGACCAGGAATTAATTCAGCCATATCCTTCCTCTCAAATGGAGTTGCCATACCAAAAAGAGTATCTTTACCCGCCTAAGGGTCAGGCTTATGACAATAACATGGGTGCCTACCATAAAGAAATGAGCCCACTCAATAGGGGTAATAGCCCTTACATGCAAAGCTCTGGTCCAAATTCTTCTACAAAAGTCAAACAAAATAATTCGTATAATCAGTCAGAGCGAGTTCAAAAGCAAAAGGAAGTGGAAAGGAGACTTGAAGAACAAACTGAATCTATTGAAGACCGTCGAAAGAAGGCTGTTAAAGAGATCTTCGACTTCTACACTAGACAGCACCTCATGATTGGCAAGAAAGCCACCTTCGAAGAGATTCAATATGAGATGTCCAATATGAACATGGGAGAGTTTTTGAAGTTCTGAAAAGATTTTCAATTCCCGGTCAGTAAACCTAGGTGCTCAGAGATTTTCAAAAAGACTGCGAAGAACAGCAAGGAGATGTTCCTCGAACACTTCAAGGAGTCCTTCCCTCGCCTCATTTCCATGAGAAACAAAGAAGAACTAGAGAAATTAGAGAAACGGTTAAATGATGTTATGATGCTGATCGAAAAGAGGGCAAATAAACTTGAAGCAAATCTTAACCCTAAGCCTAAACCTAAATCTAAGAAGAACCTCAAAAACTCAGCAATGAAACAAATAAACGATGCTACTTCTCAAGTTAGCGTTCCGCTCAACATCCAAACTGAGTCGAACAGAAGTATGGAGGAGATCAAACTTAAAGACTCGAAGGACTTTAATTCAAAGATTAAAAAGAGTATCGACAAACCTCTTTGCTTACACAAATCTAAGGGAGGAGACCCACACGGAATCATGAGCGAAATAGAAAACAAAAGTAAGTCAAAACTCAAAGCCAAAAAGAATGTTGGTGAGCATGACATCCCTAATGTAAGCTTCCTGTTACTAATTTCTAGCTTTCGAGTTCAAAGCGTGACCTTGGCGCTGAGAAGAAGATTAAATTATCCCAAGAGAGCCCGCTCAAAAATTCTGCTCCTAAACTAGACCCTGACTTTATCAATGAGAAGATCAGCCAGGATAGAGAAATCATTGCTCTTGTTGGTGAAAAAGAACGAATTGAAAAGCAAATTGATGCCATGACTAAAATTCCAGAAGATATAGAGAAGATGACGGAAGAGGCTCTGCAATATCTCCAAATTGATGACCCTTCAAAGTACAAAAAGAAGATCAAGGGCTTTGCTGCACCCTTCAACATGACTGAGAAAGATGACCGGATCAAAAAGAATGAGAAATCCCAGAAGTATAAATTCAAACCTCAAGAAGAGAAAGAAATCATCAAAGAAAAAGTCAAGCAAATTAAACAAGAAAGAGAAAATGCTAAAATTAAAGAGAAACAAGACCAAGAGAAAAGATACAACAAAAATAGAAGTGCTATGAAGAATATCCATGAGAAATTGATGAAGAAGAAACTTAGCAACGGTGAGATAGACTTGGAGCCAACCCAAGGTAGAAATCACAACCCAATCTATAATGTTGCAAAATCAAATTCAGTGATGAAGGGACTTTCAAGTGAGCAAATTCAAAGCGTGAAGAAGAATTTAGCAAAGGTTGCTAAGAAACTCCCCAAAAAGATCACAATGGGAGGTCTCACCTCCCTAAACATCGAAGATTTCAGCGGTAACGAACCTGACGGCTTCAAACCAACAGACGTAATCAACACCGATTCCGACTCAGACGACTCCATTCTCCAACAATACCGCAGAAACTCCGAAAAGGCTGTCCAAGAAGCTTACCAATTCAGCCAGCCAAACGCTCCACATCCCCCTCAAAAATCCCGCAATAAGAACAACAGTCAGGTCTCAAAGCCGGTTCATTCCTCCTTGTCCAACCCAGTCAACCCCAAAATCCTGAACAACCCTCGAACAAGAAGGGGACCAGCCGCCCTTCACAGCCTGGAGGCGAAGCCCCAAGCAAAGCCAGGCAAAAGGTACAGCACAGATTTTTGATCGTGAACAAATTTTGAAAATTTTGGGAATTTTGGGTTGGTAGTGAGAGAAGGAAGTCACTGAGATTTATAGGGGACATACAACAGATCATGAGAAGGGGAAGAAGAATCTTTCAACGGAGAGATTGAGGAAGAAATTAGGGGCAGGGAAGAAGAAGGTGAGAGAGGTGAGGTGATGGGTTTAGGTGACTAAGACTGCAAGGAAGATGGGGAATCCTTATAGTTCTGATGTAGTTAAGGGTAAGGTGAGATATCCAGCACATGTGAATAAGACTGCAAGGAAAGAAAGCAAGAAAGGGTCTCTAGTGTTGAAGGAAAGAGGTGGAAAGCCTGCTAAAAACAGTAAGTACTTAAATGATCATTTTGCAACACAAATTAAGATTCTTTCATACCCAAAACCAGCTTATCTATCAAATCATACCTTAAAATCACTATCCAAGCGCTTCCTAAATCTCTGACCCTAACCTTTCTTATCCTCTTGTACCCCTCCTTACCCTCATAGTTCCGCCTCTAATCGGAAGACGCCACCCTGTGAACATGTCTGCTGACTCGTACACCCCCTCACTATCAAAAGCAGCCAAGCTCCAGTCAAAGACAAAGCGGAACCAAGAAGAAAGACTTAAGAACATCCTGAAGCTACAGGACCACAACATGAAGAGAGGTCTAGGCGTAGCTTATAAGAATAGAATACAGTTGTAATAATCTGTACTTCATTCAATTGGCAGAGGAATAAGGGGTTTTGGGGTTTTGGGGTTTTGGGGTTTTGGGG